TAAACAGTTTAATTTAATTAACGCTACCTGTCTATTTTATCCAAATACCACTTACACCTCAGAGGTGGATCCATACTTAGGTTTTCGAGAATATTTTTTAACCAACATATGCTAATTTTCTGTAGATCGTCTTGCTTGAATCACATCTTCACTCATGTAGCAGCAGATAGGATCCATATATATATGCACTTTCTAGTAAATGCTCTGAGTTATTTCTATAGTTGGCACACACTATCAAATCTGGGGCTCAGTTGTTAACCAAGTGGGACGCGACTCCTAAATCTCCCAGTAAACACTTCATAGGCTCTCAGTTGACTTAAACTATCAAATCTAGGGGCATAAATGCCAAGCAGGGCGCAGCTCCTACATATAGTGATATAGTTGTACAAACTTACACCACCTGTTATACTATTACTATTTTCTTTCTATATTTTTTATTTTACTTTTATAATATTATTTTTATTATTTCTTTTCTCTCTTTTCTTTTATATGACTATAATATGTCTTACTAAGCTATTATTATATTATATAGTCTCCATTAAATTATAATAGTCTATTTATAATTAATAAGTTATTTAAAATTATAGCTAATTTAAGCTTTTGCAATTTCATTATAATTTTATATATTGCTATAAATTATAAACTTTATAATCATTACAAATTAGGGCATATAACATATCAATATATATTCATATCGTCATGCTTTCCATTAACAATATATAATGTAAATTTTAGAATATAATTATAATAATAAAAAATTCATATTTAATTTGAAAAGAATTATCCACATATAATAAACATATAATATAATTTAATAATAAGAAAATTATTTTTTATTCTTAATATATTATTAATTAAAAAATTTACAATATTTTTTTATTTTTTATTATTTTTTATTATAGTAGGATGAGTATTAGATATTAATTACTTTATTGATATATATATGATATTACAATTATATCAAACATCATTTGTAATACTAGACTATAGCTAAATGCTAACCTATTTTATTTTTATTACTCTAACAATACTAGTAACACTTCACTAATCAAAATTGAATTATTTAATAATATGCCACTCATCAATTATTTGGCATAAAAATAAACAATTTATCAATAATTCATCAATTGTTACCAAATTGGAATGCCAAATTATTGATAAATTATTAACAAATTATTTATAAATTGTTTATTATATACTGAATGATTGATGAGTGGCATATTGTTGAATAATCTGATTTCGATTAGTGCTTATTAAGTGAATTTATATTTTTTGAATAGGACCTATTTAGGAAATGAAAATTCTATTACTAGTTTTAAACTATTTAATCTACTGGTCCAATATTTATATAAAAACAATGAAATACTGCTAACTATTTATTTAAGTTACTTATTATATCATATATTTTTACTTATATAACCAATATAGCAGAGGTTCCTTAATATGATATATGTATTTTCTAGCAAATGCTCCAGTTTTTGATCACTGGTTGACTTTAAGTTATCAAATTAGAGGTTTTTGTGACCAAATAAGGTATAACTTTTTAAAAAATGTATAGGTTATATCTAAGCAAGCTTTCAAGCTCCTTAATCATTTAGTAAACACTTCAGTTTTAGAATCAATTAGTTTAGGTTGCCAAATTTAGAAACATAAATTCTAAGCAGAGTACAACTTCTATATATATTGTTATGGGCAAAAATGGCATAGACATGCAACGTGAAAACGCGTTACGTCATCCTATTGTCATGAATAATGGGGGAATTAAGGTGGGAAAATTGGGTGGGAAAAAGTGTGAGAGAGGAAAAATCTAGAATAATGTAGAAGTGTAAACAAACGAAAACATGTAAATAATAAGCGCATGTATAAATACATGCGCAATCCGATAGTGTAAAAGGTTGGTCAGCATCTTGAAATAAACTATTGTTAAAAACAATAAACTCTTACCTGGTGTTCCATTTCGCCTGTTGTCTAAACGCCGATAACTTGCTCACATGACTTAATGAACCAAGGTTTGACTAGGAGAATCGGGATTGCCCTAGCAACTAACAGAGTTCAACTAAAGGTCAAGAAGTGTTAAAGTTAATAGCAGAAGAGAACCGGTCAAATCGTTTACGCCTCAAGAGTTTAATTGAAGACACTTACCTTCTACCAACGCTACGCCAAGACTATATCACTAGCGACAGACTCGCCGGTTAGCCTATAACAATATAAGCTATCAGATAATCATATTAATAAGATATTAATATCAATTCAATGTTTTTCTTCAAAGCTTTCTTATTTGATAGTTAACAAGAAAGAGGATTAACAATTTGGAATTGATTAATATGAAATATAATCCAATCTATTTATCCAAATGTGTAGGTGATTTTATAAACTTTTTTATTAAATGATTATTGTAGCACTATTCAAATAATCATTATACTATTATATCTTAACAAAAAGATTATAATTTTAATATCTATTGAATTAGTTTGTGAAATGACTTCTTATAAGAAACAATACTTAACTGGTTATGGTATCAGATACTAGATTAATTCTATTCAAATATCTTTACATAAAATTTAACTGGTATTTTGTAATTTAATTTATAAAGCACTAACCATTGTGATATGGATCTATAGGTCATAATATTTTTTTATTTTATATTAATATAATATTAAAATATTATTTGTTGTTTTTTAAATTAAAATTTCTCAAAGTGTATATATATTTTAAAATAGTTTCAATAATATAGTGCTGGCCATAAATAATGAAAATTTTAATTTTCTAATTTTAAAGATTTTTTATATCACGAATATCAATCTGTATCATACATGTGGTCGTATTACCATAAAAGGAAATTTGATCGACAATACGATTCCGAATTAAATACGAATTCCAATTATTTACTATATGTTACTTAGTAATTCGACCATAATACGGTTTTTGAAAAATGTCCGAATTCAATTCCACCACATGTATAATCTGTATATAAACCATTAACCAAAATTAAATAGGAATGTACCACAAAAATTTTTTTACTAAAAAATAAATTTTTGACTAACTTATCTATGAATTTTTAGTTCTTTAACTCTTTTCTTGTGTTGCTAATTGAAGTTGAAATAATTGCCACCAGTTAATTTTATATTATTGGAACAAAGGCATATGCATTGCAAAAGCAATATATATTAAAATAAAAATATCTATCTCAACAATTTATTATAATCTTAATAAGTTATAGAAGATTGAAAAAATAATGGATCTAAAAAGAACTGGTTATCCATGAATATATTCAAGCAAAGTATCACAAAAAATCAAATGCTATGTAAAAAAAACACCTTCAATATCTATTAGGACTTTGATGATGAAATTAAATAGGGCAGTATTTCAATCAACTGTTATATGAATTTTAAGGACTCTCGGCTATAAAAATGATGTTCTTGAAATAGTATCAATGCTTATCAGAGTACAAAAAGAAAAATAGATGAAGTGAATCAAAAAATATCTAAAAGACAACTGGAACAAAACTTTTTTTATGGATGAAACTATATTTCGGATCTTTCGCAACACTATTAAACAATAGTATAAGGAAAAAAAGTTAATTTATTAGATTTTTAAAATAAACAAAAAATCTTTGCATGAAAGGATTTTTTAAGGCAGGTAAGATTAATTTATTTTGTTTCAAGAAAATAATGAATGCAGAATTTTATATCAATATATTAAAAAAAAAGATGATAGATATCAAAAGCTTAATAGGAAAGAAATAACAGTTTTAACAGGATAACAACTTCAAATATACAAGCCGTCTTGCGAAATTTTATTTTAATTTATATATTCCTAAAGTTCTTGAATAGCCAGTCAATAATCTGGATTTAAATTCAATTGAAAATTTGTGAAATATAATAAAGACAAATATGATGAAAAAAGTATCAGAAAATTTGAATGAATTAAAATTGTTTATGAGTAAGGAATAGGATATAATTCCAAAAACTATATTAATAAATATAATCAAATTTATATCAAACAGATATAAGTTAATAATAGAGAGCAATGGTGACCATATTAATTATTAAAAATTTATTAAAATAATCTGTAAGTTTTTATCTTTTAAATAAATAATTTGTTTATTATAATTGGTTTAGTGATTATAAAGTTTGATTAATAAAAAATTATTTCAAAGACTTATAACTCACATTGTATATGCAGTATATACAAATCAAATAAAAAAATGGTGTTTACTTATCAGAAAAAAAAAAATTTTTTTTAATCAATTATAATCAAGAATTTCAATGTAACAAAAATTCAAAATATAATAGAAATAAATCAAATTTATCACAAATATTATATATATTGTTAATAAAAAAGGAACTTGTGTTTAAAAAAATAATAATTAATTATCAAATTTATTTATTTCAGTAAGGATTTAAAGTGAATACAAGATTTTTATTGGTCTTGAAAATATATAGTATTTCTAAGTTTCTTAAATACTAGAATTCTAAACCTGTGATGAATATAAAGAATATTTTCTTACAAGTTTTTCTTATTTTTTTAAGTTTTCTTGTCAAAAACTATACAAGGATATATTGAACAAAAAACAAAACAAGAAACAATTGATTTTAGGAATAAAATAGTATTAAAGAAAGTATGTAGACTTTATTATTAAAAAATATAAATATTATTATATTTATAAATAAAATAACAAAACAATTTTTTCAGAAGCAAATGTTCCATACTGTATGTGAGATTACAATTATTATTATAGCAATAAAATAATATAATGTATAATAGCTTGTTGAAATAATTATATTTTCGAATACATTGAATTTTCGATATACAGTATTACAACTTCTCTTATTTTAATGTCAACATTTTCTTGAAGAATTTTAAACTGTGGTGATGGTGACGGTGATTCCATACATTATCTTTTACCATTCTACTATACACATATAAGTTCAAGTAATCTAGAAACATTTATATTTATTTCATATCAAGCTATATAATAGTTTAATACAGTTTCATGGTCAACTTTCTTTAGCTTCATCGATTTTCATCCTGTAAACATTATATTCATTATTCTTTTCAATTTCTTCATTTTCCTCACCAATGATAGCTATGGAATAATCTCTCTTTGTTTCGTGTTGCTTTAGATACGTGATTGCAGCATATTTAACATCGTCCTCGGTCACAGCCAATAATTGTTCACGTCGTCTAATGGAAATTTATGAATTAGAAAAAAAATGCTAACGGAACCAAGAAAATAAGAGAGAATATATACTTTTGCCTTAGGTCATCGGAAAGTCGATCAGTGAAATAAACCATCCCTTCCTGGGAGACGCTTATTGGCGCGTCGATGCCTTGGAATATTGATAGCTTTG